TACATACATAAATATGTATTCATTTTGGGCTCTTCTAAATAACCGAAAAAAGAATTAAAGCAAAGTTACTAGCCGCATGGAGTTTTTATCCTGCTAAGTAAAGTTTTGTTTAACTAATAGTTTAAATTTACTTTCCAAAAAGTTTCTTTACTAGCTTTATTAATTTGAATAATTCCAATAAAAGTCTCTTGGCAGCATTTTCAATCAAAAACGACTTAGGATTTTCATCGTTGTCGTTCACACTGGCTGCTGAACCTACTTGTTGTGTCGCCTATCAGCAAAAGAGATTTTAAAAATCTCTTAATTAAAAAGATACATCTCTTAATTAAAAACTCACAAGAGATATGTACATACGTGCATATAAATTCTAAGATAAACTTTAATGAATATCACAAACTCTTAGTAAAATTTGCATATTTTATGGGTGGTTGTAGCAAAAGAGACAGTGGCACAAACACTAACACAAAGGCTTGAAGCTTAGCCCAGTAGCGGAATGTGATGGAGGGTAAAGCAATGGTGAACAAGGTAGTACTACAACTGGTATCAACTGTGTGATTCCACATACCCGCTTCATTAGAGTGAGCCATGGGAAAACGGAACTAATGTCCTGCACGACTAGGAATAAGGTCGCTAGCTTTAAATTGTCAAAGTTGAATTGAAAAACTCTGCGGTTATGCGAAGTATCTGGGAGTTATATTGGATCCTGAGCTGAGTTGGAAAATAAATATAGAAGTAAGAGTAAAGAAAGCGAAGACATGGGGTCTTAATCCAACAGTTGTACTCTGGATCCACCCAACGGCTATATGTCCGATTTTATGCTACGGCTCCCTTTTATGGTGGACTGCCCTACGGAATCAGTATAATCACATAAACCTAGGCAAAATTCAGGAGGCTACATACATTGGGACTACAGGGCCCTGTGGATGCCCTCAATGCTATTACAAAACTACATATTTGCTATATACCTCCCCATCAGAATCTACTATAAGACTTATGTAGAGGACTGGGTATACGGAAAGAAAGAACGCTCGGACATAGGTGTATAATTTGTCGATTGCCGCCCAGGATGAGACTGGCTACCAACAACATATGACCTGAAATAGAATTTCACAGGCCTTTCGGGGACTTTCTCTGGTCGATAGCAAAATGGGATGGGGAACCTAATATCTCCTCCTGGATACATCATCTGTAAACTGGTGGCTCCAAAATCGATTGCGGAGTTGAAGCAGGTGATTTTTTTTCTGAATCCCTGGGATTAGGAAGGTGAATTCACCTAACCGATTTTGCTAGTGTTTTCCAGGCAAAAGTATTCGCTATAGCGGAAGTCTGCCCGCTTTTAGAACGTAGTGGTTTACGTCACGCCGAGCGTGTCGCAATTTTTGCGTATAGCCAGGCGGCTATTAAGGCCCCATTGACTTCTACAACAAAGCTGACACTAAACACAAACTGTAGAAGTCGTTTTTAAACACAGTAAGTAGTCAGCTCGATCTAGTTTTAGAGAGGGTTCAGTATTGGCCTCGAACAAGAATCGGGCCGCATCCCCAATTGATATCTAACATATCTAACAAAAAAACTTTTCTCTGAAATCTTCAGAAATCGGATCAAAGGTGGCGCATGGCGGCGAGTTGTCGTATATCCAAACTCATGTGGACTGCGTACAAGTCTAAGAGAGCCCACAACTTATTAAGCAGACTCAGACCTGGCTTTGCAAGGCTAGTAGCGATTTTTGCTGAGCATTGGCTACTCAGCACCCATGCCAGAAGGCTGGGCTTCGCCTACAACGATGACAAGCCGGAAACGGACGAAGCATTAAGTCGTTACAAGAGCTCTTTGAAATAAGCCTCCACAACATACTAAAATATATAAACCACACTGGTTGGTTCTAACATATTCATACGAGGTTAATGATATCAAAATAGCACTTAGCTGCTACTTGGGCTCAAAAGTTGTTCCGCCACCATTCAAACCTAACCCAACCATATAGATTTCAGATCCTGGCTCACTGTCAGGTTTGAAGCCGCCACTAAAGCTTCTATGGTTGGAACAAGACCAGGCGGAACTATCCTTAAAATTATGTACGTGGCTGAAGGCGTCGTTGAAATGTACCGACATTTTGCTACTGGGTAAACGGTAAACAAAAACACCTATACGCCAAAAACTTATTATACATACATATAGTACTTATAATATATACATATACTATGTATATGTATATGCAGTCGACTAAGATGAGGTTTTTGCTGGACCTGCAAGGTCGTTGGAGGCCGTTCTCCAAAGTGTGTGTGTGTGTACTATGCGAGAAGTGGTTTCTCTTGTAGAGTACCTGATTGTATGTATGTACATATGTATATTTATTGGGCTGTATATGTGCAAATGTATGTAATCATGGATATATACGCGCGTATGAATATATCTGCTGTATGTGGTACTGACGTTGTGGCGCCTGTTGATTTGACTCCAGGCAAAAATCTGAACTCTGTGTTGTCAGATTTTTATTTATTTATTTTATTTTTTGATGAGCGCATTGTTCTAATTAATTGCAAAAATTTCGAGTGTAGAATCGTAATTAAAGTTAGTATTTTATGAAAATGTGTTACCATAAAATTTAAACCAAAAAATCATTGAATATGAAAAGCTAAAAAATTCATCATCAAATTTGTTATTTACAGAATGGTTTTGTTAACTGTGACAAAGAAAGCTGCCCCTCCATCGATGATTGCTATTTGTTGGATCCAAAGACGCCAGATACGTGTTGTAGGAAATGCAAAGGTGAGTGGACTTGGAAACATTTCATATAAAACTATTAGTTGAAGTAAGGGCGTTTGCAGCGTTTTGCAATGAATTTTCATAACTCTATCCCCATATTTCGGCAGTTTTGCAAATATTCAACAATAATCGATAATTTGTATAAGTAGACTTCTGTACATGGAACCTGCGTTTATCGCTTTTTTTTGTGAAGATTAATTGAGCGGTGTTTATTTGTACAATATTTTTTATTTAGATTTTCCAAAATTAAAAAAAAAACTAGAAAGAGCTAAAAAATTTACCGAAAAAAGCTAAAAAAAAAAAACTAGCAGCCAAATTGGAATTTTTCTAGCTGAACGGCGAAACAACAGCTAAATCTAGCTGGAAAATAACTAAAATGGCAACACTGTTGGCATGTATATGAAATCGTTTATTCAATCCATTTCTAACAAGTCAGTTCGATTTCTGTTATGTCGTCGTTGGCATATCAATTTCCTTAAAAACTAATTTTCATGAAACTCGAGGTTTCAAAAATTGAATGTGTACATTAAATATGGCCGTATTCATAAAAGCTTTTAGACTTAAGTTAGCAAAATGACGAACGTTGTTAGTTTTGCAACTGTTTTTTTTTAAGTTTTATTTCAAAGTTATTGCAAAATCACACAATCATATAGAAAATCGTTTTTTTTTTTAATTTTGACCTACTCATCCCCTAAATCTGAACGATATGTCTAAATGGCATTTATATCTTGAAGAGAATCATGCTTTATGTAGGTGAATTTAAAAGGGTTTCAAAACATATCTGAAGTTGAGAAATTTTCTCGAGGCCCTTCCATATAAATCCTTATAACTCATAACATATCGTTAAGTAAAATAAATTAAGAAACCCCCTATTATAGCATAAAAGAATGCCTTTTTCAAATGAGCCTCGTTCTGCATGAATTACTAAAAAACTAAAAAAAATTACAGCTTGCTAACTATAGAAATGATTTGAACTATTAAACTTTCTTTTCTATTCAACTATCTTAGGTTGTATTTTTCGCGGCGTACCATACTCCAGTGGCACTGAATGGACTGATCCCGAAGATCCTTGTAAAACATACAAATGTATTGCCAGTGTTGTTACCGAAACGACGATGAAATGTTTCAATCAGTGTGATGATGAACACGTTATACCGCCAAAGCCGGGCGAATGTTGTCCAACATGTCGAGGTAAGTTCTAGTAATTGCATCATTAATGTTACATATTTTGAATGATTGTAACAGACACATAACCATCATATCTAAACTAATCATCCAAAAAAATCAAAACTCAATTTTTCACGACCATTTTGTCTAAAATAATAATTAAATTAAAAAAAAAAAAATGTTGCCAGTGGTCTGCGGCCCATTAAAACTTGTACGATATGTCTAGGGTTTCCAACATTTTCTGAGATATTATAGTACTCTTAAAAAAAAAATCAAAAAAATATAGTACACTTCAAATATATATAGTATTTTATTCAAAAGGAAAAGTAAAAACGCTTTTTATGTATGTTTTTTTTTCATTTTTATGCACTTCTTTTATAGAAAATATATTTCTTTGCACTTTTGTCAGTTTTTATCAATTCCTTCATGACTATGTAGTATCATACGCCTTACCGCAATAAAAATTTAAATTAATATAAATCAAAAGTTCATTTTTTGTTAGTGAGGTAGTCGCTTTTTCTCTCATCACGCCACTTCAAATTCATAATAGAAACCTCTTTCTGTGAATGCTGAAGTTGCAGAAATATATTAGAAATTAAATAAACTTAAGTAAATTTGGTAATTCATTCTGAGTATTATTAAAACATGCTACCAATTTTGATCTATGGTTCTATTCATAGTGCAAGATTTCTACATCGGGCATCGTCTGAAAACTAAAAAAAAAAAAAATATTTAAGAAGGTAGTAGCTATAGCGATGCCTGGGGAAAATCTTTTTTTTTTGCAAAAATGGCAATGGTTTGAAGAAACGACATGTCTTTTCATGAAAACGTTTAACTAAATAAATTCATAACTTAAAAACTGAGCATCGAATCAGAAATAGGGATGCCGAAAAAACATCGATGCGTCGAAAATTTTCCACTCGATGTAAAAATAGTCGATGCATCGAGGCGTTATACTAAAATTGTATGAGCTATAAAACTAGTACATACCGAAAAAGGTTCTTAATGTTTTCTTTCCATAGTGGAGGAAAACTCTATGCGTATCGATGCATCGATGTACGCCCTCCGATGCATCCACAAATATCGATGTAAGTTTCGATGCATCGATGCGAGGAATAACATCGATGTATTTTTGCCACTGACATCCCTAATCAGAAATTCTCTACGTCTACAATGTCGCAGTCAAATCCGTTTAGCCGACCATGAGATATTTATCGCGTACACCAGCTTAAAAAAGGTGTTCAGAGAAAAACGCAGAAGACGAAGGTACATTGGTACCGCCCTACGGCGCCTTTCAACTACTCCCTCTTCCAACCGCTATAGTTTATGAAATACTTTGAATTTGGCAATGATGAGGAAGCGCTTAAGATATTTTTAAGGGTAGGTCGAATAACTCTTCACTGCAATTATGTAGAGATTTTTTTGATAAAATTAAAAGAAAAATCGATCAATACGTGTTTTTTGGAAGTAAATATTTTATATTAAAAATTTTAAAATGTTATCGAAATGCGGTTTTGAAAATTTGTTCGATTTAAAGTGTTCAGAAAATTTAAAATTTCAGAAACAAAAAGTTACCCAATTGGCCAATTTTTCGCAAAGTTATGGGCATTTAAAAAAGGAACGTTTGTTTTCAAAAATCGATATCACGAAAAAGGCTGGACAAAAAAAAAATTAAAAAAATAAATCAGGGAGGTCTCTCTCAATCGGAGATCCAAAAGCCAAATGGTGTCCGAATTGGGCTGTAATCATATGTATATCTAACGCACACATTCTTCAAAAGATTCACTACTAAAAAAAAATTAGGTGGATTTTTTTGGATAAAGCAGTTTGTAGGATCTATCTCTAATTAAGGCAAATATGTTTTTCTTCATGATTACATTCTCCTAAAAGAAAACCTGTTTTTGCACTAATTATGTTAAAAATCTTTAAGGTCCGCATACAGTTCTATTCCCGGATCTGATTTTTGAGTTGTGCCTCTTTTGAAGAGGTTGTGCGATTTGTACATTCGTATGCGCTTACGTATATATACATTTGTAAGTATATATAAAAATATTAGAGATATTGAAACGAAATCATAAAACTAACATTAAAACTTACGTCGACATAGAGGAATCAATGCTATGAAAACAATCGGCTATCATTCGCATAATCCCCAAAAGCATGACAAAATCACAACTGAGCAAATAAAAACAAAATAATATAGTATTGAAAAAGGGAAAACAAATCATACAAATTAAAATAATAATGATTTGAATACAGCAAAAAATCGCTATCTACCTAAATACACTTTATTGATTTTTATATCTACATTCATACATACATACATACATATGCAGACACATATGTATCTACATCATTCCGAGACAATGGGTCAATATCCAAAAATAAGCATCACATTCAATTTGGATGCCATATACTCCTCGTATTTAGCGCAGTCACTTAAGTTGATTTCTCGCTAATCTTTTGTCATAATAAAAACAACAAAAAAAGTACAAAGAAAAAACATACATATATATAACTGAGACGCGGAATGTTGTTGACGTATGTATGTATGTATACATACATATGTGCATACATTGTAGTTTTATTATATGATTTGCCAATCACAATAATGTCATTAAATCATTTAAGCCTCAATAAAACTTGATCGAAATTATTGTTTATGGCCAAAGTAGATAATAACTAATACTATTAGAAGGAACGTGTGTTGAGTAACGCACTCAGAGTATGTGTAAATGTTGTTATGTATACATGTGGCTAAATTAAATAGGAATATGTAGACATGTACATTAAATTGCATCACTCTCCATGCAAAAAAAAAGGTATTCTTTTTCCAGCGGAATTATACAATTTAATTTTTAATTTAAGCCTCCGCGAAAATATTTGGCAAAACTTAATATTTACCTGGGACTGTTTGAAAATTCCTCAGAAGATCAAGCGTTTTATAAAAATCACCTGAGATGATAGACGAGTTTAAGCTTAAAAGGTCTGCATAAGAATATTTAAAAATTTTATCAACGAAATCAAAATAATTAGATTTTTGGAGGAATTTTCAAATTGGTCTAGTCCACGCCCTAAAATATAATAAATTTTATAACTCTGGTGGAAAGACCGCAACTGTTTTTTTGGTGAGGCACCCTAATGTACATATGTATGTACATATGGATAGATATAGTAGAAGCAAACTTGCTTATAAGATTTTGTACTACATACACATATCTGGCTGATTGAAATTACAAAGTTTGCAGCGATAGTTGGAATATAGAAAATAATAAGTTTGCTTGAAATTAAAAATCGAATTTATGTAGTTTGGCTAATTTCTTTTTCACTGAGAACAGTAAAGTTATCTCTTGTCGTACACCAAGCGCACTTCGGCGTGCCCATACTATGGCGCAAAGCCATGAACAATGACAATGTTCGACGATGAAGCGGCCCTTAGAACGCTTCTGCGAAAGATTTACGGGGCTTTGTGAGGTGGCAGCTCCAAATAACGCAGACGATTTAACGATGGGTCATGTCGCGCGAATGAACACAAATCCGGAAAGTACAAACCTCGGAACTCGCCGGGGGTAAATTATTACAATATTGTTCTGAAAAGGCTTTATTTCTAAACTACATGTAGCAGGGTTGCCACCTATTTCAAAAATAAAATGCAACTCGAATTACGGATTTAGGTGTTTTACATATACATACATATGGCCTAATATGAGTGCCAGCTAAAAGAAGTTTAGAAGGTTGTAGTTTGAAAACATTTTGCAGAGATAAATAAATTATTACAAATATGGATATCAAGCGAAATGGTTCGAAATGGCTTCATTTATAAACTACATGCAGCAGGGTTGCCATCTATTAAATAAATCAAATTCAACTTAAGAGAATTATCAACTAATTTGTTTGAAAATATTTGGAAGTGGTTGCCACCTGTTTGAAAAGTCAAGGTTAATTAAATTATACACAGGTTATATGCAAATCCAGAATACGTGTGAAAAAGTGTTAAGAAATCTTTAGCTTGAACATTAATAATATTTCTGGAGTGTTTTAAGGGGATTGCCACCTGTTAAAAAATCGTATTTAATTCTAATTATTGAATATGTAGTTATAATTACTTAATAGTTTAAATAAATTATGACAAATATGAGTATCAAGCGAAATGGTTGCGAAAAGGCTACGCGTAGGAGGGTTACCACCTGTTTGAAAAATAAAATTCCACTTGAAAGAGGTTCAAGAAGGTTATGGTGTGAAAATATTTTTAAGGGGATTAAAAAATAGAAAAAAAAATTTAAATCTACTTATTCTGGCTGTGTTTAAGTATGTCAAGTTTTATTGAAATAAATTAGACTTTGGGCCGTATGAACGAAAACTAAGCAATTGCTTTTCCTTAAAATCTCAGACCTTCTGCACGTTTTATTCAAATAAGTTTAATCAAAATTTCAGAAAATTTAAAAAAAAAGTAATTGCTAAACTTTTATTCTGCCGCTTATGTGACACAGAAATTTCATACACTCAGCGAAACGAGTAAGGACAAATTAATGCATATTTAAATTACTGAGAGTCAATTCTGTTTTTGGCGTAAATTCATATACATACATGAATAATTATCATGTACCCTAATTTTATTTCTAGGTTGTAAGATCAATGGACAAGTTGTAGCCGAGGGGCAGGAAGTAGTCGGCTCGATAGACGATCGTTGCATGGTGTGTCAGTGTTCGAAGAATAAACTGACCTGTGCCAAGAAGACATGTCCAATACTACAATGTCCCATTTCAAAGCAAACACAAAATCCCAACGAGTGTTGTCCACGTTGCACCGAGCATCGCGAGTTTATGCCAGTAACTGGTGAGTACGAAATAAAAGCTAGGGATGCAAGTACTCAGATGCTTATAATATGGGGAGCGTGTAAATTAGGCAAACAAATATCGTAGCTGTACTCAGCTGAATAGCTTATCTATCTACAAAATCATTTCGCACTTTTTTACTTCTTTCGTTTCTAATATCTTATCTCCCGTTTATTTTCCACCTTCCAGGCAAATGCATTTTCAACAACAAAGTCTATTACGACAAGACTCAATTCACGCCCGATCGCTGCACAAATTGCACCTGCAGCAATGGCACATCGGTGTGTCAGCGCAACACCTGCACCGTGCTGGAATGCTCGCCCGAGTATCAGGAAATGGACGGCTGCTGCCCACGCTGCATCACATCGGAAGTGCGCAGCGAATGCATACATAACGGTATTACCTACATGAATAACGAGACTTGGAATTTGGGTCCATGTCGCTCGTGTCGCTGTACTGCCGGCAATATACGCTGCTCCGAAATGCGCTGTGCGGCGGTGAGATGTCGTTCGAATGAGGAGAAGAAAACTTTGCCGGGTGAGTGTTGTCCACGTTGCCTAGAGACCGCTGGCACCTGCACTGTCTTCGGTGATCCGCACTTCAAAACGTTCGACGGCAAATTCTTCAGCTTTCAGGGTTCGTGCAAATATCTGCTCGCTGCCGATTGCCGTGATCATTCCTTCTCCATACGTCTGACGAATGATGGGCGCGGCACGAAGCGGTCGTCGTGGGCGAAAACGGTAACTTTGAAAATGCGCGGTATGCGTGTGAATTTGGGTCAAAAGCTGCGTGTAAAGGTGAATGGTAGTCGGGTGTTGTTGCCGTATCAGGGCGCGGCCGATGGGCCCATCATCAGCATCGAACGGCAAGGCGAAAGTATTTTACTGCGGACCGATGTGGGGCTAAATCTCGAATGGGATGGTAATAATTTTCTGCAATTAACGGCACCCGCCTCTTTCAAGCAAAAGTTGTGCGGCCTCTGTGGCAACTATAACGGCATTGGACGTGACGATCTCACCAGCCGCGATGGCAACAATCACACCGACGATGAGGTTTGGCGCTTCGCCAACTCATGGAAGGTGGGCGGACCGAAAGCGTGTTCACGGCGTGTGGACAAACTTGCCGCGCGGCCAAATTGCAAGCAACGCCAGGCGAACGCCTACTGCCGCTGGCTGCGCGAATCTGAAGTATTCGGAAACTGTGATAATAGACTAAATCCCAATAACTATTTTGATGCCTGCAAGATGGACGTCTGCGAATGCCCCAACGGCATGTGCCATTGTGACAGTTTCGCCGCGTATGCGCACGAATGTCGCCGTTTAGGCGTGCAGGTGCCGGATGAGTGGCGCAAGCGCACCAGGTGTCCGGCGGGCATGTGGCGACGCAATGCAACCAAAATGGCGTTACCGCCGTGGCAGTACCAAATGCGCGGCGGTGGTGGGGCCGGTGGTGGTAGTGCGCAAGCGCGTCGTCGCAAGCAACAACAGCAACTGGAGCTACAGCTACAATTGCAGCAATTGCAGGAGCAGAATAATCAGTTGTTGTTGGAGCAGCACGTGCCGAAGAGTCTGCTGGTGCATAAGTCACCGAATCGAACGCCGCCACCGCTGCACTGAGCGCGCGCATGCGCAACGTCGCAAAACATTCATCAACACTAACTAAGCTACGCTAGGCTATGAAAAATATTTCAATTTGAATAGAAATACTTTTTTTTTTTTTAAATAGAAATACTTCTGTTTATTTTTTTTTAGCAGATGATAACTAAAGCATATTGCTTCAGTTTATTAGATGAAGCGCATAAACGTATTTGTTTCTGTGCGTGTGTGTATGTGTTTGTTTGTTTGTTTATTTCTGCTAACTAAACCCAGTGGGAAAATGTAATGTATAGTAATCGAAAAAATAATCAGTAAAACGAACCTTTTCACATTCGAAAATGCTTTTTTCCCCCCACGGCGATGTCCAAAGTAAAGTGGGGCATTCAATGTTGCATTACCAGTGCTGATTACATAGTTAACAGTAATAAAATCGAGAGCTCATAAGAAATACATTACACTATTTAACATACATGCAATGCATTACAACCTTGCCCACTGGGCATTTTATTGTATTTGACTGTAGTTGTAGACTTAATTTTAAGCCTCACTGTTTCTCTGTGCTATTTCGTACCATTTGTTTTTTTTTTTTTTTTTGTATTAACTAAACTAGTATAAGTTCACTTTATTTTTGTATATTTATTTGTATGTGTACATATATGTATGTAGCATTGTTTTGTATTTGTAGAATTGTAGAATTAGAGCGAAATTTCCATATTTCAACCGTAACGGTTCCTACTCACACTATTCATTTGCATGCACATGCCCTGTCATTGGATCAAAAGTAGTCAGTTAAGTGCGCATGCGCGTGCCACTGCAAAAGTGAAAAGAGTGTGCAACTAATGCGCATGCTGCCACTAATGCGTCATGCGTTTGAGCCATACAAGATGCGTTATGCGCATGCGTCACACTTTTCTACTTCAAGTTCATGCGCTGCGTTGCTTAGGTGCCTTACTTATGCACTTCATATTTAAATATATTCAATTCTTTTTTGTATAGAAACTTTTGCACAAATACAAGTTTTTATTGCTTCGCTGGCAAGCGCAAAGCATCGCAATGTGTGCGTCAGCTGGCTGACTCATACCTGCCTCCCTATCATCACATTCTATGCACTAGCTCAAGGAATCTCACATATTTTGCTACCCTCACAAACCGAGAATGCAACTACGATGGTCACTAAAATATGCATGCATCATCAAATTCATTTTGAAAAAGTTAATCTTTTTATAATATTAACGAATACCGTTTTTTCGCATAATTGCGTTTTGCTTAATTGCGTCACATTTAATAGCGCCACTTAAAATTGCATTGCATTTAATTGCGTGTGCTGCCTAAGTCAATTCGGGTGTGCGCAATTAAAAATTCGATTTATAGGAAAACCGTTTAAATGGTTCTCACACTTAATTGAGTCGAAATTTATTAAACGAAATTTATTAAACGAAATTTTTACATAAGAATTTGTTAAATAATTTAATCAAAATACATTTGTTCTAATTTCGACGAATACCGTTATCATTGATTAGTCGCGTTAGTTTTGATTGTGCCGCATTTAATTGAGTCACCTTTAATTGCGTAAAATTGTTTGCACCTGTGGACTAAATTAGTTTTACCTGTTCGCTAAAGATTTGTCATCGTGCAAAACTCGCATTTACAGGAATACCGCCTCAGTGTCCTCATGCTCGATTGCGTCGAAAAGATTTAATGTTGAAATAATTCATTTTTATTCCTGAAATTGGTACCTCCGAAACCTCGAGCTTTGAAAAGTGCTTGCTACATATCTCTTTCTTAATCTGAGGATACAATAAGAGATCATTGTGTGCCAAGTCGGGGCTGAAAGGCAAAGGGTGTAATAATTCTACGCTTTGAGCGCCAAGAAACCCTTTTATTGGACTGTGGTCGTGATGGAGGAAGATCGTTTTGCGGCGATTCTCCGAAGACTTCCGCCCAACAAACGGTTGTGTAACATTAACCTTTGCACAAACAGTGGATTGTCACTGTGTTTTGGATTCGTAAGTGCCTATCCACGACCTCCTGCAGATCACCGATTACGATGTCGTAGACGTCATTTAACCTAACCTGGCTGGTTGTTAGAATTTACTCGCACCTATCGACACAATACATATTTTTTTTTTTTGTTTTTTTTTTGTGCACTAAGGAACTATTGGGTATTAAAAGAGAATAAATATTCTCATTTTTGTTGTTGGTATTTCCGACAGGGTAGGAGTGTGATGTAATGTGGAACGATTTTCCGTCATCCCTTGTCAAATTTGGTTTGGAGACAAACCGGTTTCGTTGTGCCATCTTCAGTGTCATTTTTTGTTCGAGAACGCCGAAACCGGTTTGTCTCCAAACCAAATTTGACAAGGGATGACGGAAAATCGTTCCACATTACATCAGAATAAATATTCCGTATGTAAAATCGAGTATATGCGGCACGAAGGTGTTCATTATTGATCTCCATTTTTTTTAGTTAAAGCGCAATTTTAAAACAATAATCAAAAACACAATAAGTCTATGAGTAATGTATGTACGATTATGCCCAAACATGTCAAGTCTTCGAATGCAACTGTCAAAATTTGTCTGCAACAAATGCGGCTGACGCGGCACCGCACGACTAAACTAACCGACGCCTTATAGCGCTGACTGCTATTTTTGTGACCACGTGTGTATGATGTATAATTTAGAACAAATTTTGAGTGCAAAAAAACTGAATCGCATCTTCCATTTCTCCTTAAATTATATTCGGAAATACTGACGGGTATGAAATCGTAACCGCCGTAACATTCCTCTACTTAATAACTTTTGTTTTATTTTCAAATAACCGAGATTATCTACCTACTTATGAACAAATTTATACAACTTCTTCACAAATTTTTAATAAATAATATACCATTTTCTACTAACATAATACATAAAAATCCCAGCACCGCATATGTTTTCCATAAATTTAACTTTTTAAGTTACTTGTTATTTTCTGTTCGAACACAGAAATTATTTAAGTAAATCCGAAGGCAGTTGTAGCATTTAACACACAAGTTCGAAACAGAAAATAGATTTAAAATGCTTTATAAGTCGCAAAATTGTAAGAAAATGCCACTTTATAAAGCTTTTTCAATTTAAATTTTTTCTGCTTAACTGCTCAAATCATCGCCAAACACGCGAGGGAAATGCGCAATATTCGAAAAACAATGTAGTTCTCAAATCACATTTAACATATGTATGGACTATATGCATCAAACGTTTTGTGTGAAATACGGTCAAAAAGGGATGAATTGTGTTTCGTTTTTAATATTTACAATATTTTTCAAGCTAAAATCGCATTGATTTTTGAAAATTTTTTGGTGACGTTTTTTTTCGGTCTTTTTCATATAAAAAGCGAAATTTAGGATTTTTGCACTTTTTACTAGAAATTTATAAGCTTGTTAACTACATACCCAAAAAATTTCTAAAAATTTTGGTTCAAACGCTCGAAATTTAGATGAAAATTTGTGGAATTTTTCTAAGTTCTGAGTAAAGATTGAAAGTTTTTGTTAAATCATATTTTTATAAAAAATATCAAACAAATTTTAGCTTGAAAAACAGTGTAAATATTAAAAACGAAACACCATTTATCCATTTTTGACCGCCACTGTACATATGTATGTACATTAGGCATATAAGCTTTTTTCTAAAATTAAATATGCATACATACCTATGAGAAGATGGGGATTGACGAAAAAACAATTTTCGAAAAGTTCCCGTAAGGCACTCTGCGAAAAAAATTTCACTAAAAAACATGCGTATACATATCGTCACGTAAGGGTGAAATAGGGCCAAGTCCATTTCTCTCCTCATGAGTATATTTAAATTTAGAAAAAAGTCATATGCCTAATGTACATATGTATGTACATGCATATCATTTAATTTTAATATATAAAACAGAACAAGACAAAAATTCATAATTTAATTTAAAATAATTTTCTAATGCACACAAAGCCTTGAAATTACAATAAAAAGAAAAATAAAGTATTTTTAATTACTTAAATTAAGACAAAACCTGCAACCTACATTAACTATGTTAAGCTTGGAAGCTTAGTTTAAATGCACCGAGGTGCATTTATGTGTGTTTTATGCAAAACACTTTAAGAAATGTCATTTCATTTAATTGGTCTATGTTAGACTTTTCATTGAACCCACGTATAGCATATGTATGTACATATGTACATGATTAATAATGCATCAGTACATACATATTTTGCTACTCTAATGTTTATATGTATGTATGTATGTACATTAGGGTGGTCCAAAACAAGTAAAATCGGAATTTTAATGCTCTCACCCCCTAGGATTGTTCTATAACGGAAAACGTGTTTCCCTATTTTTTAGTTTGAAATCAAAAAATATTTAAAGGTCGTTTTTAATATTAACGATTTTTTTATTGGTCACTCAATTGCAGTTTTGTGGGTTTTTGGGTTTTTTTGGCGGACCTATAAATTATAGTTACTATGGCAAAATTGTTAAATAAGCAATTGGGTATTATTACTGGGAATCTCCTGCAGAGAAACAGTGTTTTCCTTACCATTTCTACGAAAATTTGTTTTTTCCCCATACATATTAAATACAAGGAAAACTTTTAAGCGCTTTGAGTGACTCTAAATCAGGGTTGTTGCGAATATTATATCAAAATAAAAGTCCTTTCCGGATAATAAACAAACGGTCTGTCCAAATTAAACAAATTTGGTATCATATGAAAGAGGAATGAAATAGCTTTTAAACAGAAATAACGAACAACCTCTATTTATATTTTTTCATTATAATTTATTACTAAAGAAATTCATATACCTGACACAATTTTTGTTCTATGGTAATTAATTAACATTTTTTGTTGAAATATTTTTCAGTATGGGGTAAGTCCTCTTTCATTTGATACCAAACTTATTTAATTTGGATAAGCGGTTTGTTTATTATCATGAAAAGACTTTTATTTCGGAATAATATTCGCAACAACCCTGCTCTAAATGTTTTTTGATTTCAAAATAAAAAATAGCGGTATATTTTTTTCGGTAATCCCTGGGGGGTGAGAGCATAAAAATTCCGACTTAACTTATTCACATGCATTATTCGACCACCCTAATGTACACACATACATATGTTCTTGCACACATTTAAACACAAAACAAGGCAAAACTTTTGCATATTTCACAGATATTTTTTCACATGCCCCTTTCAAGACCTTTTTATTAATCTGCAGTCTAGTGTTTCGAGTGCTAGACAGTTATAGATTAAAAGAACAAAAAACAAGGAAATATATACTAAGTGAATATTGCAGGCATTCTCTCACTCATTAAACAAATCAGCACTCAATGTACCTTTATATCACTCCTTTCAATTTCTAAACGGCTCTCTTACTCCATCTCAAACACCCTTAACTCCATAAGCAGAAACTACTATTTTTATTATCCAGTATGGCAATAAAAGCGTGATGCTGTGCAAAATGTTCTATGCAAATACAAAAAATACATTATCTGTGCATTGAATTACGGTCGATGAGTAAACAATGATATAAGCTTCCACGTAGAAACGATAAGAGAAACTATGCGAAACTCAATTTATTAAAAGTAAGAGGAAAACACGCAACACCGTTTTGCGTTGCGTTTTACATCAAAATACATACATATGTGAACCAGGAGACTTCCGCAATCGCTAATCCTTGACTCCTTGCCTGAATAGCTCTCGTACCTGGCCGCCATAAAGTTTTTATATGAAGTACATGCTAGGCTGCTATTTGCACCACTTTTCACTTTGTTCTAGCTAATATCTGGTCGAGAATCTGTATGCAATCACTGATTCTAGGAAAGAAGTCTAGCCAATTGACTTTACTACCACGAGCTTTCTGGGCGTAATTATAATGGAATTCGCGCTTTTGTGTATTCGCTGTATCTTGCGTAAAGGTAACGGAATTAACGTACAATTTGTTTTTGTTGAATGTTCACCGAGTAAAAGCTATATCCGTTCGTGATGCTCACAGAGTAAAAGGTCTCTCTGATAGCCACTGATTTAAAACGCCGAATTCAAGAGAGAGCTTTTGGTCAGTGTACGCCAGCGGTGAGCAGAGAGAGCTTTTACTGTGCACGCGCCTATACAAAATGTATAGGAAGCTTAAAAGAGCTTTGCCCATCAGTGGTGTACGCCCAAAAAAAGAAAGCTTCGGCCGCGGGATAAGTTTTAAACATGGCTATTCTAAACGGAATTTTCTGACGAATTGAAAGCTTCTGAGACAGTTATTTAGGCAACTTGTGGTCGTCGTATTTTGTTTTTCTACAATCGATCTTCAATATATCTGCGATTATCGAGTCAACCAGGTCATTTGATATTCAAAAAGCTTGGCCCATGATAACTGAATGCACTCACACTGAGATGATGCCTCCAAATCCGAAAAAAATGGAAAGCCGAAAGTG